CCTCCCCACCCCTCCTCTGGGTTGTGTTGTCCTCCTCAAATTGCTGACGTGCTTTGCTTTCCCGCTGCAGTCCAGCTCCAAAATAGCTCTGGGTGTCATTTACCGGGGAGATTAAGTTTCCTGCAGGAGAGAGGCGAAAGGGCATCGTTTTAGGGACTCGCTGGGACGGTCCAGCAACTGGGGGAGGGGAAACCATCAGAGGCGTGTTGCGTTCGGTGGTGTGGGGGACAGGCTGCGGCCACAGGGCGGGTGGGAACCGCTCCTCAAGAGTCCATCCCAAAGCCAAGTGATAAACGTGACGTGGGGACTCAGGAACAGGCAGCTGCCAACTTATCAGCTTATTAGACAGGAATTCTCTTCCAAAGGCATCAGATCAATAGTAGGTTTATTTATAACCTCCCAGGCAAGAGTTGTTACAATGGCGAATAAACGGCAAGTTAATAAACCTAAGCGTATCTCTCCCTTGCCTAACCTAAGCGTCTCTCTTCCTGCCTTTTTCCCCGCGTGAATCTGAAGTGTCTGCAGAAATGGCATGGGTTGCACATACGTCGCATCTCAGAGGCTCAAGATCGTCTTTTCTGTATTTACCAGTAAAATTGTTATTTTTTTCAACAATTTCCTGAACACACAGTTCACCCCAACTCTTACTAGCAATCAAAGTATTTCGAATTTAAAAGTCATTTCTGTTAATGATAGAGGAGCTAGGACGGAGTCCAGCAGGCTCCCCCGCAACCACTTCACCTCTGCGCGGCCATCAGGAGTGAACTACGAGATATGCTTATTTTTGGCAGTAAACAAAGCAGATAACGTGCTGCAGAGTCTGGGGGCGTGGATCAGCTAAAGACACAACAGTGTGTTGCGTTTACTCACTTTTCAGGGCACAAAAACACCAGCAGGGGGGAAAAATGGAATTTTGTTCAAGACTTTAAAAGCAGGGGTTGAAAAGAGTCAGAGGGACCAAAGAAAGGGAACTGTGGTAGCCGCAGCGTCCTTCCCATGCGATCAGGGCAGAGGAACGGCTGTTTCTGCCTTGCACACAGTAGGAATCTCAACTCTTGAAGCCTCTAAGTTTTGCATTGGGTTCGCAGGGTGTTTGGCTGCTGAAAACTAAAATGTGGAAGACATCCAGCGCGACCTAAGTGCTAATGGGATTTCCTTGAAAGCAGAGCTCAAGGAGAAGGTGACAAGGATGAAAAGTGATAAGCTCAGGAGGACTCCATTAACTTAATGCAATGGGATGACCAAGGACAAGGATGCTGGCCAGCAGGAGACACCGAAGCTGTCCTAGGGCTGGTTTCTCTACAGGGAAGAAGCTAGACACTGGTTTGGCCTAGAAGCAGATCACGTTTCATCCCATGCAGTGACCTGCTGAGAGCAGGGCTGTCACCTGCTGGAGAATTGACCCAGCGATGGAAGAGAAAAAGCCACAGCAAGCGTAAGATACACCGTCATCTTCCAAAGGGGGAATAGAAAGGGCAGCGTTGAGTAGTGACTCTCTGACGAGGGAGATGGAAGGACCCACCTCTCAAATCTAACCATAAGCAATTTGCTGCCCACCAGTGACCAAATCTGAGACTCTGCAGAAAGGTGGCATGCTACTGCCTCGTGCTCCCCACTCCTTTCAAGTCAGAATAGTCAGAATTTACCCACTGGGGCAAAACCGACCATAAAGTTATAGGACTGAGGGGAAAAAAAGGTACCTAGATCTCAGGTGACATCTGAGCTGTCTGTGCATTGGCTGAGTCACTTCATCTGATCTTTAGGGACAGCTTTGTGAAACTCATCTCCCCGTTTAAAGATACTGGCCATTCTGCTCGGTTCTTCCCCTGTTTTGAAGACGGTTTAAAGTTTTAGCTGCAGGTGCAGTAGCAGATAACCTACCAACAAACTTACAACGACCTCCCAAAGACACAGAAAAGGCTGCCCGAGTTTTGTTAGTAACAAAACTCAGCACACCTTTGAATCAATGCAATTTCATTTCTGGACAGGATAATTTGTACCATTGCACAAGAAATTATTTCCTATCAAGTTCTGCTTTGCACTTCAAGGTCCGACCCCGACCTGAAACTTGAATAAAGCAGTGCTCTGTTTGGAGCAAACCAAAGCAAATTAAATGTTCCCCAGCCCCCCATGAAGCAACCTGTGTTTACGCTTCCCTGCCCGGTGAAATCCAGCAGACTGTGGAGTGCAACGATTGCCAGAGGCACGAGGTGGATTCTTACGATTGAAGGAGCAAAGGAGGTGGATTAAAGGAGCAACCAGTGTCTCACTCAACACATCGCTGTCTTCAAGAGCTGAGCTCAGAAACAACACTTCATGCACGCCGCTTTTTTTTGTAGTGTGTATAAGGGGCCAGCTGTACATACTAGAATTACAGAGTCACGACAGGTTCATTTTTGCCACTGTCATGATTAGCAGCTCAATGACTATCGGTAACGGATTGTTGGACCCACATGGCTGATGCTTCTCTGAAAAACAGAACAAACACCAGCAAAATCCTCCGCCATACATTTAGACGTAAATAATGAACTCCACGCAGGCTCCACCGCCAGAACCTTGAAGAATGATGAGGTAATTAACATGCAGTAATCACTATTTGGAGATGCTAATTATAAGACAAATGCAACTGCATCAGCTGCACTTGGCAACCCTGTGACGAGGATACAAAAGCCTCTGCCCCTTCCAAACCACCATCTCTGATCCTGTTCGCTTCTGGAATGAAGGCACATTTTTTTGGAAGGGCTTCCAGGTGTGCAGCTTCTTTTCGTGGTTCACCTGGTGCCTTTCAAAGAGGTGGACAAGAAATGTCTTTTTATTTTGTCTTTAGCCAGCAGGTAAGACATGTGGAAGGTGGTGTTTATTTTAAGGAAGGCTTTTAAACATACTTTGGTCAGCAAATCTGTGCAATCCTTTTACACTGGGAGGACAATCCTTCCTACGGTCCGAGGAGAAAGTGCCCCAACTGGGTTTAATGTCCCAGCATATTGTCACCAGTTTACCTAATGGGAAAGACGATCCTTGTCCTGATTGCCCCCCATCTTGGCATATTGTCATGGTCCATTTATCTCATCATCTAACTGTAAGCTCCTTGCAGCTCATCTTACACTGTCTGCCAGTACTCAGGACTAGCATCTTCTAGGCACCACGCAGACGAGCAATAACTGATCTCTGTTCTTGCATTAGTGACCCCTTTTTTGGATGCTGTGACTTGCCCTAATTATCTTGACATGAGTGAATTGCCCACAATACCCTGAAAGGTCGCTAAAAATGAGATGAACTGAAATATCTACAGTAGTAATGAGCTATTTATCTACTCAGGAACTACACCATGTCATGCGTTTAAAATAAAGTCTTACGAGGAGCGGCTGAGGGAACTGGGGTTGTTTAGCCTGGAGAAAAGGAGGCTGAGGGGAGACCTCATCGCTCTCTACAACCACCTGAAAGGAGGTTGTAGCGAGGTGGGGGTCGGTCTCTTCTCCCAAGTAACAAGCGACAGGACGAGAGGAAACGGCCTCAAGTTGTGCCAGGGGAGGTTTAGATTGGACGTGAGGAAAAATTTCTTCACCGAGAGGGTTGTCAAGCATTGGAACAGGCTGCCCAGGGAAGTGGTGGAGTCCCCATCCCTGGAGGTGTTTAAAAGACGTGTAGATGTGGTGCTTCAGGACATGGTTTAGTGGTGGACTTGGCAGTGCTGGGTTAACAGTTGGACTCGACGGTCTTAAGGGTCTTTTCCAACCTAAGCAATTCTATGATTCTATAAAGGAAAATCTATACATGATGAGCTAATAAATGTTTGAATTTATAGAAAGAATGATGAAAGGGTTGAAGGAACCTGCATTTGAATGAAAACAAATAAAATGTCATCAGGCACGATACTAGTCCCTTCCTCCTCTTACCTGAAAAGCCAACAGACAGCTTTTCCATAAGGAAGTTTTCTTCCCACTCCAAACATCAGGGAAATGAGCTTTAAATAGCAGCTTCTACTCATGCGGTTTAAAATACAGAAAAATCTTTCCTTGCACTTGAAAACTCCAAAATTGCTCATCTAAACTCCTAAGTTGAAAGTAAAAGAATGCCAAACTGATTTAACCATAGTTTACAGACACTGAAACAAGCTGTGCTTGGTTTTCATCCAAGAAATCAATTAAATTATTTGAATTACTCTAACTAGCAAGGCCTGAGGCATTAGGTCTGATTTCAATATTCCTCTCAAGTACTAGATTTTTGGCATAAAAAGACAGGTTTTCATCAAAAAAAGATTCTTGCTTCTCCCCACAGGAGAATTTAATTTGATTTTTTTCCCCCCGTGTGATACTGCACAAAAATGTAAAAGCTGACACCATGTTTTCTTCTCAGTATGTTTATTCAGTTTCCCCAGAAAACTAAAAAAAAGCCTGATGTTTTGTCTCCCTATCTAACATTAAGCATAATTCGGGGCGTTAGGTCTGATTTCAATATTCCTCTCAAGTACTAGATTTTTGGCATAAAAAGACAGGTTTTCATCAAAAAAAGATTCTTGCTTCTCCCCACAGGAGAATTTAATTTGATTTTTTTCCCCCCGTGTGATACTGCACAAAAATGTAAAAGCGCTGACACCATTTTCTTCTCAGTATGTTTATTCAGTTTCCCCAGAAAACTAAAAAAAAGCCTGATGTTTTTTGTCCCTATCTAACATTAAGCATAATTCGGGGCGCGGGGGAGGGGAATCAATGCTAACCATGTTTTCTTCTCAGTATGTTTATTCAGTTTCCCCAGAAAACTAAAAAAAAGCCTGATGTTTTGTCTCCCTATCTAACATTAAGCATAATTCGGGGCGGGGGGGAGGGGAATCAATGCTAATAAAGATTTCGCACAC